GGGTGTGGGAGGGGTCGCTGCCCAGGTGGCTGCTCCAGCAGCTTCTCCAGTGTGTCTGCCTGGACCATCCCCACACAGCAGGCCTCCCCTCTCTGGGGTGGGACAAGATGGGGTCACGCAATCAAGGCAATTTGGATGCCCAACCTCCTCCACGGGAACAGAGTCACTGACCCCATGTCATAGAGGGCACCGAGGCTCCAAGAGGTCTTGACGTGAGCTGACTTGTCACAGGGCTGAGATATGGCCAGCTGTGAGCTGCAAGAGTAATACAACCAACCACACTTGTGTCACTTCACGTGATGTGCAGCTAAAGCCAGAACATTGGCACCAGTTGAAGTGAGGGAAATTTAGCTTTAATTACAAGACCAAGTCATGGAGTCCAGGTGGCTAAAGCTCAGAAACATCCTGATCTCTGAGAATGTGTACAGGCAGGGAGTTTTAAAGAAAGTGTTGGGGGTTGGGGAAGGGGCTGCGTGAGTCACCAGTTGACTGTTCTGAGGGGCTGCGCCTCTGAGCACAAAGAAACAGTATCTCCATGAACAAAGACACAACTCTGAGTTTCCTTTATCACTTACCAGGCTCCTATCACTCTGGGTTCTTGACAGCTCACCTCCTCAGCACATTCCGAGGGCTGGGAATGTTCTGGATTTTGCCCTGTAAAGACATCTTGAGAATGTTTCTCAAGATAATGTCTCCTGTCCCTGGAGGTTTGCGACTCTGTTTTATGGTCCTCCTCATCACTTAGGTTACATCCTGTCCTGCCCAGCTGTCTTCTTTGTACTTCCTTAATCATTTGCTAGTTGTAAATCCTAACTCCTTAATTAGATACTCTGTTCCCAGATCCTAAGTAACATCAGCTTGAGGGACCAAGGCCACAGCTCACTTTCATTAAACTTTTAGGAGGTATTTCCCCAAATGGGGTGTCCACTCAGTATCAGAACCCAGGATAACTTGACCATAAGGTTGTGTTCAATGATTGTTCAACAATGACAAAAATGAAAATGGTAATAATTACAACAGTGATGATTTTGACAATGGCAATGACCATGTTGGTGATAATAACAGGAATAAATGTAAACCCAAGGACGTGGCAGAGGAGTACATATCTCCCCGAGTGAATGAGCAGGTGCTCATGTCAGGACCAGGGGTGCTTTGGGGCCAGAGCAGAAAGAATGCAGTGTGAACGGGTTCTGTGAAGGTGAAGGACAGAAGGTAGGTGGGAAAGAATGCAGGAGAGGTGGGCAGGAGCCAACAGGAGATTCATGTGTGGAAAACTTAGGGTGAGACTTGGGAAAAGAGGAAACCGATGCTGCTCCCAGAACCCAACACCACCTAGGTAGAGTGAGGGTTAGGGTTGGTGTTGATGTTGAAGTTCAGGTTCAGGTTGAATTAGGGATAGAGGTTGGAACTAGGATTAGGGGGTTGGGTTAGGATTAGAGGTTATAGTTGATTTAAGGGAGTAGGGTCAGGATTAGTGGTTAGAAGTTATATAGGTTGGGGTTAGAGATTAATGTTACAGTTGTGGTAGGGCTAAGTGCTAGGGTTAATGTTATTGGTTAAGGATAGGCTTGCTGTTGGAGTTAGATTTAGAGGTTAGGGTAAGGTTAGGGTTAGGTTTCAGTTTAGGGGAAAGAGTTGGGTTTAGGGGTTAGAGTTGGGATTGGAGTTAAGTGGTAGGGTTTAGGAATAGGTAATATGTGTAATACATTAGGGGTTAAGGATTATGGTAATAGGGCCTGTTTATGGTTTAGGGCTTAGGCTCAGTGTATACAGTTGAGGATAATGGTGTGTTAGGGAAAGGGTTAGGGGTTAAATATTAGGTGTTGGAGGTTACAATTAAGAATTAATATAAGCAGCTGGCTAGTTAGCATTGTTGGTTACAGCATTTTGCTGATAACGCCAAGGTCCAGGGTTTGATCCTTGTACTGGCCAGCTGACAAGAAAAAAAAAAAAAAAAAAAAAAAAAAAAAAAAAAAAAAAAAAAAGAATTAGATGCAAGACCAATTGGAAGTTGGTATCATCCCAACCTCCAAAGACAGTGGCCAAAATGAGAAATTTATGGATGGAAAGAAAGCCTTTAGGGAAGAACTGGTGACTATACAGGTGTGGGCAGTGAGGATAAAGGAGATGTTGGAGATAAAATCTAAACATCTGCCTCCATTGAGTGATGAGATGCTGGTCCTGCTGTCTGAAGAAGGGGATACTGACAAGGTCAGATTGAGGTAAAGAGCTTGAGGGTCAGTTTAGTCACACTGAGGTCCCGATGTCCTCAGAGCACAGATTCCCATTCTAGAAAGAGCCAATTAGACAGGCTCTGTTCTCGGACCCAAGGGCATGTTTAATTCATGGTGAGAGGTACTCAGGACTTCTGCACCCCACCATGCCTGATGTAATAACTATCCAGTGAAGTCCAGGCTGGGCACATCCACACTGTAGGTGGAAACTCCACTGCCCAACTGGCCACCATTGTCCTGCATGTCCAGGACTGAAGTCTTCTGGGGCACCAGAACCTTCCAAGTGTAGAAGGGCCTGGAGTGTGAAGTGACCACTGTGCAGTGGTATATGTAGACAACGAGAGATGCTTAGGGGGAAACCCCTATTTATGTACACCATGATGGTCCTTTTCAAGACACAGAGTATGACTCTGAGTCAAGGGCACCTCGTTGCAGGGAACCCAGAGAGAGTAGGTTCTGAAGGGCAGGGCCACCAACCCTCCCAGGCAGCAGTCCTGCCCAATAGAATCCTCCACCCCATATAAGTTCTTGTTAGATCAGGATATCATGAACTTCTCAGAGCACCGACAGTTTGTACAAAAAAAAAAAAAAAAAAAGAGGAGACATTTGTCTAGTGAGAAACTTAGCAGCAACCACTAGGTGGGAGGTAGGGAAGTGTGGTGATCTGGGTTTACAAGACTTCTGCTTGAGAGGGGAGTGTCACCTCCAGGAGAGGGGTCACAAGAAAAGTGTGTGTCTGAGTCTAGAATGTGACCTGCCCGGCCTTAGGTGCCTGGCAGATATAAGAGTGGATGGGCATAGCTATAATCTATCTAAATATTAGTAGTGACACAGACACCATCCTGATTACTGCATGGGCTAACTTCTGTCCTCTTCTCCCCCCAAACTAATTATTTTGCAATCTCAAAACCCAGGAACTTCAAAAGGTGACAGCATTTGGAGATAGGGTCTTTAAAGAGGTGGTTAGGTTAAAATGAGTATGGGCCCTAAAACAATCTGACTGTTGTCCTTACAACAAGAGGGGGTTAGGACATATGTAGACACACCAGGGGTGATTGTCCACAGAGGATGACCATGTGAAGAGGAAGAGAGAAGGCAAACACCTGCCAGCCAAGGAGAGAGCCTTAGACAAAACCAATCCTGCCAGCACCTTGATCTTCAACATCCAGCCTCCAGAACTGGGAGAAAATACATGTCTGTTGTTTAATCTGCCCAGTCTGTGGTGTTGTGTATGGCAGCCCAAGCAAACCCATACAAGTAGCCAACATGAAATCTAGAGTAATGTGATGGGCTCTCTCTGTTCATACCAACAGGAGACATGTTATACTCCATTCAGTGAGGAGGTGCTCTCATTCACGGCTTCTGCCGAAGTTACTGATAAATTTCCATTATGAGTTAAATTGTGTTCGCCCTTCCCCCAAATTTATATGTTAAGGTCCTAAACCACACTACCACCGAATGTGATATTATTTTGCAGTACTGCCATTGCAGTTGTAATTAGTTAATCCAGTATGACTAATGTCCTTATCAATTGGGGGAATTTGTGCACAGACCACACCGGGAGAACATTATGGAAAGATGAAGACAAACATCAGCATGATGATTCTACAAGCAAAGGAATGTCGAAGATTGTCAGTACACTGCCAGAAACTAGAGGAGAGACATGAACCAGATTCTCTAAGGTCAGAATGATCAAGGTAACCTCCTTTTGGAACTCCCATCTGAATCATAATTACCAGCCTTGCCGATTTATAGAATTAAAACTTCTGCATACAGACAAGACTCAAAACATGAATCCTAAAGTGTATGAAGCGTTAATCTGGAACACACTGTATCAGATGCCCTAGCTGCAAAGGAAGTGGTATCTAATAAGAATATAGGGAGACCCAGGAGAAAAAGGGGTGTTCACAATGTGAGACAGAAACCAAGACCTCACGTTAGCTGGGTTACTATGAGTCTGGTTAGTATTAGTCTGTTTCAGGTGGCAAATACATGGCTCATTGCCCTACAATGGCTGTAGGATTAAAATTTAGAATTTAATAGGGTCACATCAATAGATTGTAATAATAACCCGTTCTTTATCTGGGAGAGAGGGACAAACCTTCCCAACTCTGTAGTACAATCCATTGAAGACAGACAAATTAGTTTATTGGATGAGAATAAACATTTTCTAATGGCTTGGAAGAGAGCTACCATATTAATTTCTCACTTGTTTAACCATTTAAAGTAAAACAGATGCACGATTTTTTCATCCTCTAAAATGCATCTGCAAAAATAAACGTGGGTTCTATAATAGCAATACCTATATGACTACTAAAAAAGGTGAAATTACTTATTAATATCATGCGGTAATTGGCCCACATTCGAATTTCCCTGTTATTCTCACAATGCCTCAGGTTGTCAAACCAGGATTTAGTAAAGAATCAGAATTCTACTTCGTAATAACGTGGAAAGAGGCCAGTCTTGATCCATCAGGTCCTGTTCTCCTGGTAGCAAGAATCCCTGCTGAGAAAATAAACAAAATATTCTCCTTCAGTCCCTAAATGATGACGGCAGAGACTTGTGGGAAATGTAGTCCCGCCCTCCAGTGATGTCAGCAGCACAGGCGCACTAAACAGCTGCTCCAAGTTCCTTCTGAACTTGTAGGGCTCTGCTCCCTCTGCCATCTGGGAAATGTAGTTTCGGCTGCAGTGACGTCACCAGCGCGGGACTACGGGAAGGGCTTTCCAGGTTTCTTGTGCGCATGTGCGGCTCCGCCCACCCCGCCATCTTTTGTCTGGAAATTCCAGGAGGTTTTGGCTGTCCTCACGCTGCTCTTCAGATCCTGGGTTTGGATTGTGAGTCCCTGAAGGTGTGTGCGAGGGTGAAAAGAGGAGCCCCGCGGGCCTCGGGGTCCCTGGGGAGCGGGACGGTGTCCCAGCACTTGGCGGGGAGAAACGCCGCGGGCCTCGGGCGCGAGCGTGGACCTGGGCCGGGCCGGGGAAGGGGCTCCCGGGCTGCGCTTTCCAGACCGTTCCAGACGTTCCGTCAGAGGACGGCGGTGCTGGAAGGCAGGCGGGTGCTGCCGGGTGTGCAGAAGCTGGTTCCAGATGTCCCAGGACGGGGGCTCCGGTCCCAGGTGGCGACGGGAACGTGGGTGGGGGTGTCTGAAGACAGCGAGCCTGGGAGGTGTGGGGAGGTCACGTTCCAGTTCCGCCATCAGGAACCTGGTACCGACCTGTGGGACACTCACGTCACCCATCTGTAACGTGAGCATTTGGACATTAGTGTGATGCCCTAGATTTCAGAGGTGAATCTGGGATCATGAGGTGTGTGCAGACTGTCACTCTGTGGCTGCTGTGGTCGTGGGGTGTCTCGGTGTCACTTCAGCAAGGCAAGTTTCTGGTCCCTCCTGCCCTGTGCGGCCTGCCTAGCGCTTCTGGTTTGAATTTACAGAAGTTGGTACACAACCTCGTTTCCAGGACAGTGACTTCTAGGAAGGAGATTGGGGCGCTGGATGTCGGTCCCCTTTTCTTTGGAGTGAAGGTGTGACAGACTTTGATGGACAGTGTCCTGTGAATAGGAATCCCACCTGGTGGGGCATCATTGTGGCTGGAACCCTCTTAGTACTGCTTCAGGGCAGAGGCAAAAGAGTCTCAGAAAGGTGAAGACCTTAGCTTTGCACAGCCTAAACAATGATTGTGTCTAGTGCTTAGAGCGCACCAGGGTTGGCTGATAATATCTCATTAAATGGGTATCTAAGACTGGATGATATCGGAAGGCTTGGGCCAAATTTCAGAAGGGAGAAGTGGATTACACTGAGAAAGAGAGGCAAGGACCCAGGAGGTGTTACTTATTGAAGAAGGTTTGAAGGTGTTCTGTGGGGTGCAGGAATAACCTGTCACAGCCGAGAGGATCTGTCTGCAGTGCTCTCTGAACACACTCCCTTCAATCTTCCCTCATTGTTCCCAGTGTCTGTGCTCTCTCAAACCCAGCCTATGGCCAAATTTGGCATCTAGAGATGTGCTGATAGTTCTCTGTTTTCATTGTTCTTTTCTGGTCATTCAGGAATGGTTTTCCCCATATTTCTACCTTGTAAGAAAAGTGGAAATAATTGGATATGAGGAAATGTGACTTGCCCAGGGTTACATGATTACATGAAAATCCAGCCATCTTATTTTTTCTGAAGTTCTATGGATCCACGTCTTGGGGTGCATTTAGCTGGGCAGTTCTCATCTAGTGTTACAAATGTGGATTTAGTCACCTGGTACCTCGATTGAGGCTGTTTGGTTAAAGATGGCTTCACTCACATGTTCTGTGGTTTGTGCTTACCCTTGGATGGGCCCTGTGTCTCCCCAGCCTTCTTCACAGTATGACTGTGTTTAAGAGGCAAGCACCAATGGCCAGTACTTTTCAAACCTATGTTTGCACGACATTTTCTAATGGGCCATTGTCGAAAGCAGGTCACATGACAAAGACTAGTTTATTTTCAGAGCATGCTATATGAGGGCTTGGATACAGGGAGATCATGTTCCAGAAGAAATATAGATCATGTGTATTTTGTTTACCTATGTAATCATGGGCAATGTGTGCTGGGTTACAAGATGCACACTATCCAGATATTTAGGTACATAAAAGGAAGATGTGTTGTAACGGAAACACTTTTTTGGAGTCATGTGTGAACTTAATATATTAATAGGGTAACAGTTAATACAGCCAAATGATTTCTACAACACTAATTCTATGATGTCACAATGTTTTTTCTTTGGTTTAAGGTATTAAGTTATATGTTCAGGTGATATTGTTTCGTGCTAAGTCAGTAGGCTATGTATGTTTTCATTGACCCCAAAATAAATTGTGTGTGTAATGTGTAGCTATTAATGTACTTGTAGCTGCATCTTTAATGGGGTCTTGTTGCCTCTTATTGAGGCATGAAGGACTGTTCTCTCACAGGAAGGCTTTTTGTTTGTTTGTCTTTTTCAGCTAGTAAGGGAAGGAGAATGTAGAGCCAAGCCACAACCGTACTCTCCTTAATCCACTCCATTCTCTTTTCTCCCAGCTATGCTGCCAGAGTGCGCTATGGGTTTACAAGAGCAACAAAAGATGAATAAATCTCTGGTGAGTTTTTTGGTATTTATTACTCAGAATTTTTTATTGTATTATGTGAGCTTTATGGCATGCATAAATTAAAATTGAAAAGTACAGGTGAGTAAAACTCAACTTGAAAGAAATGAACAGTCACAAGATAAAGTTGGCATGTAGATATAGCAGTTTGTAAGACCTCAGAGTCATCTAAGTTGGATAAAAATTTTTCTCTGGTCTATGTGATGCCATGGAAAAAAGGCAGACACCTTGTTTACATGCTTGGAATGGAACCTGAGAAGAGAATCTGCCAAATTCTCTTGGGATGTGAGGACTTGGTGGCACCAAATTCTGAAACACCATCAATATTAGAAAGTTTTTCACTGCTGACCTGGAAATAAACATTTCTCACTTTCTGCAGTGGAAATAGTTACCTCATTATAGGGCACAAGTTGCTTAGTAAGCTTTTTATAAAGTTCCAAAAACAAATCTAGTTCAAATGGCTTTGGAAGACTGTACTAGTTCATAGGAAAACGTAGAATGATAACCTAAATTATAATCAAATCCAATGTCTATAATCTTTTTCTAGCTTGAGTCTTCTGCTACATTTTGAACCACTGTTCATGATATTCTCCTGGAAATTCCTCTGTGTTAGTTTATTAGTTTCTCTCATGACTTCACTGATGGTTATTTCTCTATTCTCCTGAATTCTTCTACTTTCTTTTTTATAACATAGCTTATCAAAGTGCTTCATCCTGGGCCCTGTTCTTCTCATGTGAAATTCTTTCTTACTGATTCAATCCTCTGTAGTTTGCACTCTTCTTTGTCTCCAGGTTGTACTTCTTCCCTAGCCTATTGATGTTAGGTTGAACTCTGTTGAATGCTTGTTTGTAGCTATTCAAAATGTGCGTCAAGGGACTGGTTTGTAATCTCAGTTGTTTAGATCATGGTGTTTTAACACCAAGGTCAACGGTCCAGATCTCTGCACCAGCCACCTGCCAGGGGGGAAAAAAAACTATCACCTCAAAGTCAACAATTCTAAAACTAAAACCACTTCCCCTTCTTCTCTTATGTGTGTTATCACTACTGCTCCACCACTGACATAAGCCACCAAAATGAGATTTCTCCTGGACTCCTCCCTGTTTCTTGGGCCTAATTTATCTCGTGTTAATTTCCTGCTACTGTTGTTTGTTTGTTTTTTTCATTTTATTCTGATTTCTATGTACACTGTCAGTATAGGGGGAGATGTTTGTACTCATAAAGACTGTAACTTTGTTCTGCTGGAAATATCATTCTTGTAAAAACCTGAAGGTAATGTTTGCTGGGCTATGAGGTTCAATCCCTGGTGACCTGTGCTTCTAGCCAGCACCTGTGGTGACATCCTTAGGAGTCCATGGAGAGAAAGCCTTCAGGAGTGACTGGGACATGTTTGAACAATGGTCAGTAAAAAGACATGGAATAATAAAAACAATGTACAGATTTTTATAATGTCTACCTTTTGCTTCTATAAATTTACATCAGTGATTCTGTTTGTAGTTTTTATTAATATACAGTTACCTGTTTGTAGTTCAATAAGACCCATCATGTTTTTAAACTTTCTTACAGATTGTGTTTTATTCTTCTCCTATTTCAGGTAATTACTTAAAAATGAATGCGGAAAATGGATGTGTGCGTTAGTCTTCACTATGTTTTTAAAGCAGAACTGTAGCTAACAGCTAGTTAAGAGCAAAAATTGACAAATCAGTTAACCGAACATTTACATTCACAATTGTAGTTTGAGACCTAACATAAGATGTGAAATGCTTTCATTCTTTGTTTTGAATCTAATATTCATTGTGAACTTACACTCTTCATGTTTCAAGTCAAAGTAGTACTTAAGGTCTCTAATAACTTTTTTGCTGTTCCAGTGATCTGCTGTGCAACAAAGTATCACAAAACTTCATGGCTTAAAATAAGAACATCTTCTTATTACATGTCACAGTGTTTTGGGTCCGTAATCTGGACAGGGTGGTGTGGGTTCACTGCTAGACAAGGTCTCTTCTCTGAGTTGGAAAATCTCTAGTGGCTGGGAACACTGAACAGACATCCAACCCTCTCTTTGTGGCCATGTTGGACTTCCTCACAGAGTGGCATTCTCAGGGTAGTCAGGTTTATCTGGCTTCTGCCAGAACAAGTGTCCAAGAGGCCCAGGCAGACACTGCAAGGATTCTTGTTATCTCCACTCAGATACCAAAGCTTCTCTTCCAATGTATTCTCTTAGTTAAGCACATCATTAAGACCAGCCTTGATTCAAGGGGAAGGCAATTAGATTCTACCTGTCAGTAAGAAGAATAGCAAGACTTTGCAGCACTGTTGAATAGACCACAGTCTGTTCTCTGACCGTAAATTTCTACTGCATGCAAAATATGCTTTGTCCCTCTTAAGAGCCCTAGAAATATTCTACCACTGTGCAGTTGACAAAAAGCCAAACTAAACAAGCTCCAGTGTCCTGTCATCTTTTTAACACACATCCAGCTTACAGTGAACAGACAGGCATGGCCATGTGTGCACTTTTCTCCAGACAGGGTTGGTGAGAAGAGGCAGCACCCTGAGGGTTCTGGACTGAGTAATTACATATTCCTATCAGGCACCTGCTTTAGTATTTCATTAGAGCCTAGTCCTGGTCCCTGGAAAGGATGCTTTGTGCCTCTTCACTGTGTCCTCTGGGCTCTCACCATTCTCTGTCAGTATCTCTTTTCCTTGAATGGCTGGGTTTGCAGTTGACTGACTTTCTTTGCCTATTTTTGGTTATTATATGTTGGGGGATCGAACATCCTTTTTTACTTTTTTCTGACTCTGGCCTTTTGATACAGGAAATTATCTGGTGTGTTCAGTGCCATAAAAACATGGGCTTCCATTGTGCTAAAATCCATTAGACCAATGCTACCCTCACACATTCTGAGTCAGGCCCCTTGTTCTCTGACCTCCCCTTCTCTCTGAGGTGCCTGTTTCCTTAGAAGTTTTGTCGTTTACTAGGCACTATCTATGTGTCAGATCCAATGGTACTTAGAAAGCTAGAAATATTTTTGGTCTTTTATCTTTTTTGGAAAACAACAGATTTGATCCTTGCCACTAAACAGTTTGAAAATATTTTTCTTGGAAAAATGGATGGAAAAATAATTTTATTTCAAACTCAGCAAGTCCTAGCTCCTTCATATTTTCTCTAAATTTTGTTTGAAAATTGAACATCCTTCTTTTATTTTCTCACTGACAGAGACAGGGGGGCAGGTAGCACTTTTCCTTTTGTGCTCAAAAGTCTCTTTTGGTGAGATACCCTTTCCATTTTCCATGTTATGGGAGGTGGTAGTAGTGTGGCTCACATCCTTCACAGTTCCATTTATTTCTAGTAATATAATTTGTCTTGAAGATTCTTTTGCTGGTATCAATATTTCCACTTAAGCTTTTCACAATTTGTGTTGTTATGGTAGATATGTTTTCATTATTTTACTTTTAGTCTGTTTCTTTGTATTTCAAGTGTACTTCTCTGGACAACATATTGTTGGGTCTTACTTTCCTATCAAATCTGAGAGTCTTTGCCTTAAGTAGAATATTTAGTGCAATTCCATTTAAACTAATTGTTAAGTGTGCGATTTTGCTATTTTCTATTTGTATTTGCCTTATCTGCCTTTTAATCCTCTGCTTTTTACTTTCTAACGTTTTATCAATTAGTTAATTTTTAAACAATATTTTATTTTGGTTCATCTATTGGCTTTTAAAATAATTTATTTTTAATTTTAGCAAAAAGCGTATAGCGTAAAATTTACCATTTGAATCATTTCTTAACCTTTATGTAGTTTTACGTATATTGACACCGTTGTGCAGGAGATATCCACAAGTTTTTTATCTTGGAAAATTGAAACCCTATATCCATTAAATGGCAACTCCCAATTTACACCTTTTCCCAGCTTCTGGCAACCACCATTCTACTTTGTATTTCTAAAAACTTGACTCTTATCAGTGGGACCATATAATACTTGTCATTTTGTGAGTGTCTTATTTCACTTTTAATAATGTCCTCAAGGTTCCATGTTATAGCATACATCAAGATTATCTTTCTTCTTAAGGTTGGATATTATTTCTTTGTATGTGTATAGCACATTTTATTGATCCACTCATTCATGGCTGGACATTTGGGTTTCTTTCACCTCTTAACTCTGTGAGTAATGCTGCTCTGAACACAGGTGTGGAAATATACACAAAACTTGGATATATGAATCCTATGGTAATTCTATTTGTAATTTTTTGAGAAGTCACTGTACTATTTCTTTTTTAATACGGGCTGCATCGCTTTATATACTCACATAAAGTGTACAGAGTTTCCAATTTGGCCAGTACTTTTTATTTTCTATTAGGTGTGAAATGATATTTCATTGTGGTTTTGCATTTCTCTAGTGATTAATGATGTTAACCATCTTTGCATGAGCTTGGTAGACATTGGTATATCATCTTTGTAGAAATGTCTGTTGAAGCCCTTTGCTTATTTTTTAATTAGATTATTTGCTTTGTTGTTGTAGGCATTTTTAAAATGTAGACATTTTAAAAATGTATTCTTGATGCTAATTTCTTATGAGGTAGATGATTTTGAACTTTCTTTTCTCTTTTTTGAGTTGCTAATGTGAATAGTATTGTGTTTTTTGTTTTAAATTTTATTTGGTGATTGCTGGGGTATAGAAAAGTGATTGACTTTTGTATATTAATGTTGTATCCTTCCATCTTGCTGTATCAGTAATTAATTCCAGGAAGTTTTCTATTTACTTTGTAGGACATTTTACACAGATAATCATATCATCTGCAACTAATGATAATTTTATTTATTTATTTCCCAATCTGTAAATCTTTTATTTCCTTGTGTTATTGCACTACCCAGTACTTTTAGTATGATGTTGAAGGAGTGATGAGAGGATACATTCTTGCTTTGTTCCTGATTATCTGGGAAAGCTTTGAGTTTCTCACCATTAAGGATGATGTTAGGTGCAGTTTCCTGTAGATAGTCTTTATCGAGTTGTGATGTTCCCCTCTATTCCTAGTTTACTGAGAATTTTTATGATGAATGGATGCTGTATTTTTTCAAATGCTTTTTATGCATCTGTTGATATGATTGTGATTTTTTGTTTTTTCTTCTTAGTGTTTTCATGTTATCAATTACATAATCGATGTTCATATGTTGAACCACCCTTGCCCACCTGGGATAAATACCACTTGGTCATGGTGCATAATTCTCTTTAGATATTGTTGGATTAGGTTTGCTAATATTTTATTGAGCTTATTTGCATGTATGTTCACATGCAATTTTCACATGCAATTCATTGTATTTTTCTATTCTCATAATATCTTTGGTTTGGGTACTGAGGTAATGCTGTCCTCATACAATGAGCTGGGAAGTACTTCATCTTCTATTCTCTGCAATAGATTGTAGGAAGGTGGTATATTTTCTTCCTTAAATGTTAGCTTTGGTTCTCCTGTAAACATATCTGAGCCAGGTGCTTTCTGTTTTGAACGTTATTATTTGTTTACTCAATTTTCATAATAGACACAGGCCTATTCACATTGTGGATTTGGCGTGCGTGAGTTTTGGTAAACTGTCTTTTAAGGAATTGGTCCATTTCATGTAGGATGTCAAGTGTGTGCAGAGTTGTTCGTAGTATTTATTATTCGTTTAATGTCCACAGGATCTGTATTGATGTTATGTCATTCATTTATGATAATAGTAATTTCTGTCTTGTGTTCATTATGTTTTTAGTTAGCTTGGCTATAGGCTCATCAATTTTATCGATCTTTTTAAAGAATCAGCTTTTTAGATGTTTATTTTTTCTCCAGATTTTCCTTTTTAATTTTATTTCTGTTCTAGTTTGTATTTATTTTCTTCTGCTTCCTTTCAATGTAATTAGCTCTTTGGTGTCATTTTCTCTCTCTCTCTTTTTTTTTTTTCTGGTGTCTGTCCAGTATGGGAATCAAAATCCTTGACCTTGGCATTACAAGGTGGTGCTCTAACCAAGTGAGATAACTGGTCAGCCCCATTTTCACTTTCATTTAATAAAATTGTTTAAAATTTTTCTTCTGGGTATTTTTTTTGTGGTTTTGTTTTCTTAGCCCATGTATTAGTGTGTGTTGTTTAATCTCCCTCTATTTGGGGATTTTGTAGTCATTGCCCTGTTACTGATTTCCATTTCAATTCTTTTGTGGTCTGAGAGCACATATTGTATGATTTCTACTATTTTAATTTTCCTAAAGTGTGTTATGTGAATCTGAATATGGTCTTAGTGATTTTTTTTATGTAAGTTTGAGAAGAATGTCTATTCTGTTGTTGTTGGAAGAAGTAGTCTGTAGATATCCATTATATCCAGATCATGTTATTGAGTTTAACTATGTCTTTTATGGTTTTCTGTCTGCTGTATTGGTTCATTTTTTTTTTCCTTTTTGTATTTTTTACTGACCGGTAACGGGATCGCAACCCTCGGTGTCGCACCCGTACCGGGGACCGGCAACGGGATCGCAACCCTCGGTGTTGTGCCCACACCGCACTCAGCCAGTGAGCGGGAACCAGTCTCCACATGGGATCCGAACCCTCGGCGGGAGCGCCACCGCGCTCCCAAGCAGCGCACTCTCCAGTGCACCACCGGGCCGGCCCTGTATTGGACATAACTAGCTTTGCTTATGTAGATAGTCTGAGAGTAAAACTCTTCTTTTAAAATTCTGCACAACAAATTACTACCACATTCTGTTTCTGCTTTTTCATTACCTTTTTCTTTTTTATAGTGTTAAGTCTATCTTCTGTGTGCTTATTTCTCTATGTTGTAATGTAGTTGGCCTTCTGTCATCCTGTTTTCTTTTTCCCTCTGACTCTCCCTAAAAGCCTTTTCCATTCTCCTTGCAGTGGATGATGATTAAAATATAAATAAAGGCATGTACTTACAGGACCACATTATTTGCTCCCTGTGGTTTAGAAAGTTGCATTGTACACTGTGGTGTGGACACAAGCAATCCTTTGGCACATAGGAAGGAAATTTTGGAATGACTTTAATGTACTTTTAATTCATAAGTAGGTAAAAATCAACAATAACTGCATACAATGTTTTACTGTTTGAAATAGGTCCCATATTTAAGTGCAGAATCATTCTATAATTAGTTGCTTCAGTATTGTTCCCTTATGCTGCCCAAGATCATTCACTCAGACACGGTGCTATGTGTAGTTCCATTAAGTGGGGTGTGTTCTTTGTGTTCTTGTGACTGGACTTTTCCTGTTGCCTCATATTCATGAGATCAAGCAGTTCACATGGAAGAGTTTAACATCTTTGGCATTTCAAGCTGAATACAAAATAAAACTATATTTTCTATTTCTTTCTTATGCCAGTCTATATTGAACTTGTGTTTAAATTTGTTCCTCTAACACAGTATTTCAGGTATGTATTTACACTTATGTCTTCATGCCTGTTTATACTCTCCTTGGAAAAGGAAAATTTTATTCACACTTTTATCACTAGCAACAAGGATATTTCCTGAGGTATAAACTAAGTTTTGTAATATTACTTTTATTAATTGATAACTTATTACAGTTCCAGGATATTTGTCCTTTGATTTTTCTTCCTCCCATCCTATGGCGTACAAGAAAGTGGCATCTTATATACGACACATGTGACACATGCACACACAAAGGTGTGAACTCACAGAATTCTGTCTTGTGACCCAGAAATGTTGACTTGAGTTGAGGACGATGTGTCATTCCAGGAGTTGGTATCATTTGAGGATGTGGCTGTGGACTTCACGTGGGAGGAATGGCAGGACCTGAATGATGCTCAGAGGACTTTGTACAGGGATGTGATGCTGGAGACCTACAGCAACCTGGTGTCACTGAGTGAGTAAACTCCCCAGTAACTTTCAGGAGAAATGTTTCTTTTTGTTTATAACTATAGGAAGCATTTATAGGGTTTCATGCTTTTTTGGTAAGATTACATTTCTTGAAAATGTGGTCTCTCTCTTTCTCACAAGGTTCAAATTGGCTTCTTTGTTGTACAACATCTGAAGCTGAGCTTTTGCCATTCTTCCAAGGATCAGACTTAGTTTTACAAAGTCCTACATTATTTCTCATTAACAGAACACTGCATTAACAAAGCCGAGGTGACTGTCAAGTTAGAAGAAGGAGCAGAGCCATGGACAATAGAGTGCCCAAAGCAGATCCTGCAAGATTTGTCAGCACATACAGTGCAGAAGCCAAGAAAAGTAAAGCTCATTAGATGTTGGCAGTGTTCAGCTATTTCTAGAAATTTCCCTTGCAAGTCCCAGACTTGAGGATGGCTCACCTGCAGTCCTGTATTACATAATGTCCAAGGTGGGGTATCCCATGTACATCCCAATATTTTATTTGGCTGAATCCGTTTTGTATGTACCCATAATCTAATTCCTAAATTTCTCTTGTTTGACCCTATTTTTCCTATGTGCTGTCTTAACATTTTTAGTCGTGCTTATTCTTCAATTCTCATGTACCTTTTTTTCATACTGGATCTGTTTGTTTTCTGTTGTTTCTAACAGAATACCTGCAACTGGGTAATTTATAAAGGAAAAAATCTATTTTCTTACAAGTCTGTTCTGGAGGCTCAGCATTCCAAGTTGAAGGGGTTGCATCTGGTGAGGGCCTTTGTTCTGGTGAAGACTCTTCACAGAGTTCCAAAGTACTGCAGGGTATCACATAGCAATTCACTAATAGGAAAAGAGGCACAGCAGTGAGCCTTGTACCACCATATCAACAATCATGAAGCTGAGGAGAACCCTGCATGGGAGAATGGAAAGGGGGGTCCTTGATTTTGAGGGAAAACCAGAAGATTCTGGATACCAAGTCTATATGAACTAGCGGTTCCATGTTGTTGGGATGATTGTTGATTGGGAGTGGAGTTCAAAGTTAACATTGTTTTGTTTTCCTTGTGGAAATCACTTAGAAAAGAAACTAGAATGAGAAATGTGCAGGAGACAAATTTTATGAGAATAGAAGACCTCCAATACTTCACTGCACAAAACAAATCTTTCACGAGAAGTAAATTATCAAGTGGTGGTCCATGTTCCAGAAATTGGGAATAGAATACAAGTTGATTTGAGAAGGAGTCAAAAGAACATATTTCAAAGATGGTGGGAACAGCTTTGGATGCAGAACCAAACATCTTAGAATAGAAAGGGGTGTGTAGGGTGGAGAACTGATTTTCCTTTATTCTAATGGTTTATGAGAAGCAGAGGAAGTCATGTTAAATGAAAAACTTAGAGGAAGCTGTCTTTGGGGTGGAGGAAAGGATATTTTATTCTTTGGAAAACTTCTACATTCCTATAGCCATTTTCTAAGGGAGAAGTGTAAAGCATATAAACATAAATACAAAATCCTTATCCTCAGTGATGTTCTGTCATGTCTGCTGCCGGCTGACCCAAACAGCCCTTGCCTCGCTATCAGTCTCTCCCTTGGTGTCCCTTCTGGTGGGCGAGCGAATTGCCTGCATTCCTCTTCCCCTCCTGTCCCCATTGGAAGGAGAAGGGGGAAGAGAGCCATGAAGAGAGGTGAGCACAGCCGCCGGCCCCAACCAGCCCGTTAAAGGACACTCAGACGCGGCAGGGGTTCTGTTGAGCAGTTCCGTTTATTATCACACAAGCACTTGCTTTTAAAGGCAAATGGGGAAGGGAGGTTTTTACATCCTCCAATCAGCTTAAAGGTTATGAGAGCATGCATCCTGTCTCAATGCCTAGCTATTGCAATCACGCAGTGTTCACGAGCGCGGAAGCGTGTATTTGGCCAATAAGGGCTAAGGCAAGGTTCCTGCAGACACTCCCACCCTACTTCCTCCCGGCGCCATCTTAGGTTGCCACGTTAATACGCCCTTGTGGGCCCATAATGGCGCCACTTGTAATGTCACTTAAGGTGGCATTAGTTTTTAAGGCCTGATGATGTTCCTGCATATGTGATAAAAAAGGGCTCACTTCTGTACCTGAAAGAAGCTCATGATGGAAAACCTAATCATCTTCATTGTGAAATAATGAGAAAATAGCAGTAGGAAACATCCATTGTTGTAAAAATGAAAGAGAAATTGGTATAAAGAAATGAAAGGTGCTTAGTTGAAAACTACATGTTAGCAGAAAATAAAAATTCTTAACAAATATTTAGTCATAAATTAAAATTTAAAAATGAACAAAGAAGGAAAAAAAAAACCTTGACATTAGAAAATATATTAGTACAATATTACATTGTCAGTAAGAAAAAATTCCATAAACTCGTGAAACCAACATGCATTATTGATTTTTTTATAAAATCTTTTGTTACTAGGATTGGAAGGCACTTTTGTACCTTTACTTGAGCAATCAATGAGATTTGCTTATGTGTGGTTCATTATTATTTTTTTCTCATTTCAGATGTCCAGATAGATGATGACCTTGAGGAGAGGAACCAAAGTCATGGTAGATGCTTGCAGCAAATTGTAGTCACCAACGGCAACACATCAGCTGAGGAGAGAGTCGTGTTAGGAAAATCATTTTATTTGAGTTCATACCTTGTTTTAAATCTGATTATAAATAATGGAAAGTATTCAGGAAAGGGACATGAGGAGTTATACATATGTCAGAATGCACTTCTTCCTAGAGAGCCTGATGCGATGCCTGCTGGAGAGAAACCTGATGACCGTCATATAACTGAAAAATTGCCCAGACATCATGAGCATCTTAGTCAGCATCCCAATATTCAAACTGGGAAGCACCTTTTAGAATACAGTGGAAAAGGGAAATTCTCCATCACTGAGCCAACAATATTTACAGATAAAAAGATTCATATCGATGAGACCACCTGGAAGTATAATGAATATGGGAAAGGCTGTGGTAAGGCAGCTGCCATTGTCCAAGAAATAAATCACATAGAAAGGAAAACTTTTCAGTGTGGTATACATGGGAAGATGTTCTGTAAAAAGTCTGAATTCAGTAAACGTCAGATTATGCACACAGGTGAGAAACACTATAAATATACTGAATGTGAGAAAACTTGTATTAAGAAATTGTACCTTACCTCACATCAGAGAACACATATACAGGAGAAGCTTTACGGTTGTAATGAACAGGAGAAAATTTTTTGTCAGAAGTCAGACCTTACAATGCATCAGGGAACTCACACAGGAGAAATGTACTATGGAAGTATTAACTATGGGAAAATCTTCTGTAAGAATTCACTCCTCAGCCATCCTGAGAGGATTCAAACAGGTGAAATACCAGATGGATGTAATGAATGTAAAAAATCTTTCTACCATGAATCTGCACTCTCTGTATATCAGAGAGTGCACACAAGTGAGAAGCCATATAAAGAATACAAAAATACTTTTCACAGTAATAGGTGTGGTAAAACATTTCTTGAAAAGTCAAACTGCAGCAGTCATCAGAGAATTTGCACAGGTGAGAAACCATGTGAATGTGGAAAAACTTTTAACCAAAAGTCAAGCCTCAGCATTCATCCCAGAACTCACAGAGGTGAGAAACCATACGAATGTAAGGAAAGCAGAAAAGCTTTAAACCAAAAGTCAGATTTCAGTGGTAATAAAAGAATTGACACACATGAGAAACCATATGAATGTATACAATGTGGAAAAACTTTTAACTATAAGTCACAGCTCTGCATCCATCAGAGGACTCACACAGGTGAGAAACCATATGAATGTAAAGAATGTGGAAAAACTTTTAACCAAAAGTCAAAGCTCAGCATTCATCAGAGAAATCACACAGGTGAGAAACCATATGAATGTAAAGAATGTGGAAAAACTTTTAACCAAAAGTCAAAGCTCAGCATTCATCAGAGAAATCACACAGGTGAGAAACCATATGAATGTAAAGAATGTGGAAAAACTTTTAACCAAAAGTCAAAGCTCAGCATTCATCAGAGAAATCACACAGGTGAGAAACCATATGAATGTAGAGAATGTGGAAAAGCTTTTAAACAAAAGCCACACCTTAGGAACCATCAGAGAAACCACACAGGTGAGAAACCATATGAATGTAGAGAATGTGGAAAAGCTTGTAAACAAAAGCCACACCTTAGGAACCATCAGAGAAACCACACAGGTGAGAAACCATATGAATGTAGAGAATGTGGAAAAACTTTTAAACAAAAGTCACACCTCAGCATTCATCAGAGAACTCACACAAGTGAGAAACCATATGAATGTAGAGAATGTGGAAAGACTTTTAAGCAAAAGCCACACCTTAGGAGGCATCAGAGAAGTCACACAGGTGAGAAACCATATGTATGTAAAGAATGTGGAAAAACTTTTAAGCAACAGTCAAGACTCAGTAATCATCAGAGAATTCACACCGAGAGACGATATGAATGTACAGAATGTGGAAGAACTTTTAATCGAAAGTCACACCTTAGCAGGCATCAGAGAATTCACACTGATGAGAGACGATATGAATGTACAGAATGTGGAAAAACTTTTCATCGAAAATCACACCTTAGCAGGCATCAGAGAATTCACACTGGTGAGAAACCATATGAACATTAAGAACATGGAAAAGATTGTAGTGAAAAGTTATACTTCAGTATTCATCAGAGAAGTCACAGAAGTGGGAAACCATATGAATGTAAAGACTGTGGGAAAGCTTTTACCCGAAAGTCACACCTCAGCATTCATCAGAGAAGTCACACAGATGGGAAACCATATGAATGTAAAGACTGTGGGAAAGCTTTTGCCCACAAGTCAGACATCAGGAAACATGAGAGAATTCACACAGCTGAGAAACAATAAGAATGTAGAGAATGTGAAAAAACTAGGGAAAAGTCAAACCTCAGAATTCATCAAAGAAGCCACATGGTTAGAAAACATGAATGTAAAGATGGAAAACCTTTTAGGAAAAAGTCAAATCTCAGCATTATCAGAGAAATCACACAGTTGAGAAACCATATGAATGTAGAGAATGGAAAAACTTTTAATCAAAAGTTACACCATAGCAGGCATCAGAGAATTCAAACAGGTGAGAAACCATGTTGTGGGGGTGCTCCTGGGGTCCTCCTGCAGACCCAGAAGGAGAAGGAGCCGACAGGATTACCCCCGGTGTTGGGACTGAGGGATCTCGGGGAAAAGTGAGCCTGCTGCCCGCCAACCCACCCCTGTGAAAGAGACACTCAGATGCGGCAGGGGTTTTGTCAGGGTAGTTCCACTTTATTGCCGTTACACTGCAATTTATATAAGCAAGCAAGTAGGGGCTTTCCATGAACTAACCAGTCAATTAAAGGATCATGTGCAGGCATGCATTTTGTACTAACATGTTGAGCATAGTGATCACGCAGGGTTCACAAGTGCAGAAATACTGGAGGACCAATAAAAACCTTTTGGAGGGCCGGCCCGGTGGCGCACTGGATAGTGTGCCGCTTGGGAAGCGCGGCAGCGCTCCCGTCCGAGGGTTCGGATCCCACATACGGACCAGTTCCCGCTCACTGGCTGAGCGGGGCGCGGGAGCA